AGTCCAGGAGGACATTGATGAGAAGGCCGACAGAGAGAAAAAGCCTTCCCCTAGAGCTGACACCCTGAATTTGGACTTTTAGCCTACTTTGACAGTGAGGAAATAAACTTCTCTTTGTTAAAACCATCCACTTGTGGTATTTCTGTTATGGCAGCACTAGATAACTAAGACACAGGGTTATACTGGCTTCGTAGAATGAATTTGGAAGTAGTCCTTCCTTTTCTATGTTCTGAAATAATTTGAGTAGTACTGGTGTAAGCTTTTCTCTGAATTTTGGGTAGAATTCTCCAGTGAAGCCATCTGGGCCAGAGCTTTTTTTTGTTGGAGTTTTTTAAATTACCTTTTCAATCTCTTCTCTTGTTATGGGTCTGCTCAGATTTTCAACATCAGTTTGTGATAATTTGGGCAGGTAGTGTGTTTTTAGAAACTTGTCTTTATTTCCTCTAGATTTTCAAGTTTGTTGGAGTATAGTTGTTCATAATACTCTGTTATGATCCTTTTTATTTCAGTTGGGTCTGTTGTAATGACCCCCATTTCATTTCTTATTTGGGTTATTTGTGTCCTCTCCTGTTTTTCTTTTGTCAGTTTGGCTAGGGGTTTGTTGATTTTGTGGATCCTTTCAAAGAACCAACTTTTGGTTTTGTTGATTCTTTCTATTGTTTTTCTATTCTCTACTTCATTATTTCTGCTCTGATCTTTATTATTTCCTTTCTTCTGGTGGCTATAGGCTTCTTTTGCTGTTCTCTATTTGTTTGAGTTGTGTAGCTAATGTCTTGATTTTGTCCCTTCTTTTTTGATGTGTGCTTCTATTCCTATAAATTCTGCCTTTGCTGTGTCACAAAGGTTTTTGTACGATGTGTTTTCATTCTCATTTGATTCTAGGAATTGTTTGATTCCATCTTTGATTTTTTTCTATCACCCAGTGGTTTTTAAGCAGGGTGTTATTTAGTTTCCATGTAATTGATTTTTTTTCCTTGCTCTTCTTGTTAATTTCTACTTTGATGGTGTTGTGATCAGAGAAGATACTTTGTATTATCTCAGTGTTTTGGATTTTGTTGAGAGTTGCTTTGTGGTCTAAGATGTGGTCTATTCTTGAGAACATTCCATGTGGGTTGGAAAAGAATGTATAGGTTGCAGCTGTTGGGTGGAGTGTTCTATATATGTGTATGAATTCAGGTTGGCTGGTTGTGGCCTTTAGATCTTCTGTATCTTTGTTGAGTATCTTTCTAGATGTTCTGTCCTATTTGCTTGATATATTTGTTTCCATCCTTTGATTTTTAATAAATTTATGCCTTTGTTTCTAAGGTGTGTCTCTTGTAGACAGCGTATTGATGTATCCTGTTTTTTTATCCATTCTGTCACTCTCTGTCTATGGGTGTATTTAGGTCATTTATGTAATTATTGGTAGTTGAGAGTTTATTGTTTTCATTTTGTAGTGCTTTTCTCGTGGTGCTGACGATTTCTTTGTTACCCTTACTTTCCTGTGCTGAATTCCTTTCACTTGTGGATTTTTTTTCATTTCTTTTGTTTTTATAGAGTTTGTTTTTACTGAGACTTTATGTTTTTCTTCTTTACTTTGATGAGTAGGTTTGTTAACTTTCTTTGTTGTTACCTTGAAATTTACCCTTATCTTCCTAGGTTTGGACCAGTCTAATACTTGGTATCACCTTGCCTTTCTCTCCATTAAAAAGTTCCATACTTACACCGCTTAGTCCGTCTTTTATTGTTCTGACGTTCTTGTCATTTGCAGATTAACCTCTCTGGTTCCCTGTTGTAAGTCTTTTGGTTTTGAATAGTCCTTGAGAGTTCACTTCCTAGGTTGGTATCTGGCTGGTGCGATCTTGTGTCCTAGATTTGGGCTGTTGTCTAATGTTGTTTGTTCTGAAACTGAAGGTCTCCCTTTAATAATTCTTGTAAGTTTGGTTTGGTTTTTACATAGTCCTTTAATTTCTGTATATCTGGAAATGTCCTAATTTCACCATCATATTTGAATGAGAGTTTTGCAGGATCTATTATTCTTGGTTGGCCATTTTTTTCTGTTAAGGTTTTATATATGTCATCCCATTGCCTTCTTGCCTGCTTGGTTTCTGCTGAGTAATCAGAGCTTAGTCTTATTATTTCCCCTTTGTATGTGACTTTTTGTTTTTCTTGAGCTGCTCTCAGGATTCTTTGTCTTTGGTTTTAGCGAGTGTGATTATGATATGCCTTCGTGATTTTCTTTTGGAGTATATCCTATATGGTGTTTGTGGAGCTTCCTGGATGGCCACCTTTTCTTCTTTCATGATATTAGGGAAGTTTTCTATCAGCAATTCTTCAATGATCCTCTCTGTGTTTTCCGTTTTCTCCCCCTGTTCTGGAATTCCAATCACTTACAAATTTTTGCCTTTGATTGTATCCCATATAATTCTCAGGGTTTCTTCATTTTTCTTTGCTGTTTTTTCTGATTTTTCCTCAAACAAAGTTGTGTCCAAGTGTTTGTCTTCAGTTTCACTGATTCTGTATTGCATTGTTCCAAACCTGTGCCTCAGCCCTTCTATGAGACTGTCCATTTCTGAAATCTTGTTGTTTATCTTTTGGATTTCT